CACTGCGGGAGGGGAGGGCAGGTGGGCACTGCGGGAGGGGAGGGCAGATGGGCGCTGAGGGAGGGGAGGGCAGGTGGGCACTGGGGGAGGGGAGGGCAGGAGAAGGTACACGAATACTTAGAAGCAAATGCACAAGGCTTACCTTTTCACCCTTGTGGCCCTTCAGGCCCCGAATTCCATCCACGCCCTAGAATTAGAGGGAGGGCAGAGATCAAGTGATCGGCTAAATTAGAGTACTGAGCCCCCAACCCATTCCCTGGTAGTCAGTTACCTTGACACCTCGGGGGCCTGGGTATCCTAAAGGACCCTGTGGTCCAGAGGGACCCTGGAGAAAGAAAGAGAGGGATTTATGAAGTCCCTCAGGATGTCACTGTGAGGGCCTCAGGGAGCAGGAGAACATAGCAACTATACTGGGGTTGGGGGAACACTAGGTTCAGGGGAGGGGGTCATGGGACTCAGACACAGAACATTATCAGAGCCAAGTGAAGGATGACAGGAATCCCAAGGACTGTGACCCCTGCCCCCAGTCTGAAGACACCTCAGAGGGCAAAGGGAAGTGTGGAGGGTCTCACCTGGTTCCCTTTGGTTCCGGGAGGACCTTCCTTCCCTGGGTGACCCTGCGAGAAGGAGTTACAGAGAATGTCACTGCTGAGTCCTGTCACCTTCCCAGGAGTCCCCAAATTGCCCTGTGAGCTGACAAAGTCAGTATCACAGGCAACCTATGAGTGACCGTACAGTAAAGGGTACACACTGGAAAGGTGGCTGCTGAGGGGCTTGCCGGGGACACTCACCGGGAGTCCATCCGATCCTGGCATGCCAGGGAGCCCTGGTTTCCCACGCGGACCCTGCAGGAGGAATTGGGATTTCAGGAGAGAGGGAAGCGCTCCTCGCCCATTCCTAGAACGCGATGCCCTGGGAATCAGTCACCCACCTTCTCTCCATGAGGACCGATGGCACCCTGAGGTCCGGGGAGGCCCTGCATGTGGAGAAAGAGAAGTCATGCGAGCCACGGGGCTCATTCTCTACATCCCCAGTAAGTGCCAGAGCAAGAAGGGCCCAGTGACCTGTCCCCACCCAGAGTGCACCCCATGGTGAGGCCTAGGTGGCAGTCACTACAGCTAGGAAGAGAGCAGGACCACTCACCTGGGTCCCAGGAGTACCCTGTTGTCCAGGAGGCCCTGGCTCTCCTTGAGGTCCCTAGAAACAAGTAGCCAGAGAAGGCCAGGCAGGGGTCAGGCAGGGGTCAGGCAGGGTCAGGCAGGGGTCAGGCAGGGTCAGGCAGGGTCAGGCAGGGGTCAGGCAGGGGTCAGAAGATAGTGACAGAACAGAAAAGATAGAAATCTCAAGGGCAGCCAAGAGGACAGGGTCAGGAAACAGGAAGGGGTTCAAAATGGCAGCAGACAAGACTGGGTAAGGGACTTGCAGGGATGAGGGGCGGGGTCTCTATGCCTATCACTCACCAAGCTCCCTTTGGGGCCGTGGGGACCGTCCATGCCTCGAATGCCCTGAAACACAAGATGGGGTAAGCAGGATGGAAGCTGGGGCCAGGCCAGGAGCACTGTGGTTTCTGAGGAACATGGCCTGGTCATCCCAGAGGGTGGACAGCAAACGCCCGATCAGACCGCACATCCGTCTCCAAGCCAGGCTGGCGTGGCCTGACCAGACCTGCAGGGTGTGGGCCTGTGGCTGTGAGGGCTTCTGTTTTGTTTTTCTTGAGGATTTTTGTTGTTTGGGGCTACAGCCAGAGCCCTGGTGCACTGTACCATATGATCCACCAAGTGCTGCTTGGGGGGAAGCTGGAGCAGAAATAAGGGGGGTCCAGAAGTGGAAAAGCTCATGGGTAGGGGAGGAAGGGAGGAAGGAAGTAGTTAGGAGAGGTCAGGGGTAAGGTCGGGGCTGGAAGTCAGGGAGTCACCTACCGGAGGCCCAGGAATACCAGGTGGACCTTTAGGGCCAAGAAGTCCTCTGGGTCCCTGCATCAGAGTTGACAGGGACAGCATGAGTGGGTGATAATGTGTCCCTTTGGTTCCCATCACTTCCTGTGGCTCCCGCAGAGCACCCCCGGACACTCACCGACTCTCCAGGCAGCCCTCGGGGCCCAATATCTCCATCGTCACCCTGGAGAAGGAGGGCGTATTGAACGGACCAGTCTTGCCTTCCAGACTTCTGAGTCCAGTTCCCGCCCTGACCACGGCACTTACCCGCTCTCCATCCTCGCCAGGAGGCCCAGGAAGGCCCTGAGCGCCCGTGTCACCCTGGAGAAGAAGGGAGCAGTGAAGAGAGGCCTCAGATTCCTCACACAGGCAGACACTGGCCCATTCACTGAACTGCTGAGCCCCAGGCCTCTCTGACTTACTCTGAGGTCCCTACCTCCCCTCTAGAGATCAGTCCCCATCACTGCAGCCTGCCCACATCACACCCACCCTGTGTCCCTTCTCGCCGGGCAGTCCTGGAAGTCCGTCAAAGCCTCGGTCACCCTAGGGGGAAGAGGGAGAAGCAAAGTGAGGTCCAGTCATCTCCCATCCCCCCTTCCTACTCTGTCCCAAGTGAGGGGCTATATCCCACAAGAAGCTGGTGAGCCCTGGGGCAGGGCAGGCGGCTACAGGTGTCAGAGGAGGGTAAGATTACCTTCACACCGGGTTCTCCAGGCATCCCACGGGCTCCATCAGCACCGGCTCGGCCCTGGGGGCACAAAGCATGTGTGAGAACAAGTTGAGATATGGCCCCCTATCCTCCAAGCTCCATTTCCATCTCTAGAGGACTCACCCTTCGCCCAGCCTTGCCAGGAGGCCCTGTGAGGCCCTGTGGTCCTCTGGGGCCCTAGTGAGGGAGAGACAGAGATGGTTAACGGGAGGACACTGGGGCATAGGCCAGGGAGACACTGAGCTACAAATCACATGTGGGTGTTGTCACCTGAGGGCCCAGGTCTCCAGATTCTCCTTTCAAGCCCGGGCTCCCAGGCTGACCCTGTGAGAGAAAATGGCCATACTGAAGGATACAGCCAACAGTGATCTCAAAGGGACCCCTGACCCAGCCGCATCCCCCCCACCAAAGAAGCAAAACAACCTTTGACCCGGTTCTCTGTCTCTAACTACACACACAAATAAAGAAACACTACTTTAACTCCCAGCTCACTCACCAAGGGTCCAGGGCGGCCTGTGTATCCCATGGGGCCAGGCGGCCCACGGAGTGCCAGCTGAGGAGCAAGAGAGACAGCAGAGGTGAGAGGGAAGCAACTTGAGAGCCCAGCACCCCCCCCCCAACATTTGTCCTTCCTCCAGCCGATCCTCACCCTTAGCCCGGCTCCATCTCTCCTAAGCAAACCCAGGCTGTCCCCCCAACCTTTCACACCAGCCCCCCACAAGCGCCTTCCCTTTTCACCACAGACCTCCCTCTACCAGGACCCCCCTCCCGGCCCTGCTCACCCGTGCCTGCTGCAGAATGGCCTGGGCCTGGGCCTCCTGGGCTGCCACCACGGGGCCCTTGTCACCCCCACTGCTGCCAAACCGGAACTAAGGGGAGACAGAAGACACAAGTTCCCCTCAGGAAATCCAAGCGCCCTCCAAGCCAGAGACGCCCTCCGATGTCTCGGCTGTGCCCCTGGCTCCGGCTGGGCACACAGAGGAATCTAGGGTCCCTCCCAGCCTCTTTCCATTGTGGTCACCACAATACTCTCCTCTGCTTCTTCACCTCCTAACATACGACATTTCTCTGCCCTCTTTTAGATCATTCATGTTTGGTTCTTCAAGACCCATGTTTGGTCTAAAGAGGGTGCAATCTTCCCACCCCCAAAGATCAATCGCTTCCGTTGATGCTATGAACTTCAGGTCTTTCGACTGTCATGGTCCATGGCTGAGAGCTCTGGCAAGACCCGTCATGCCCCGTCATGCCCCGTCATGCCCAGCTTCTCCTCCACAGCCTTCTCGGTTAGTTCTTAGTGATACAAGCGCCACCCCCAACCTGTTTCGAAGCCCAAAAGATAACTCACTGGAAGCATCAGAGATGTGCCAGGAGGACCAGGGGCTCCATCTGACCCGGGGAGCCCTGCCCGGCCAGGGGGACCCTGATGGGAAAGAATGGGAAGAAAGGGAGACAGGAGCAGGTCAGAGGTGTGACATCCTTTTGAAATCCTTCCCTACAGGACTAACACAGACATCTCTAGATCCCCCCTGAATGCTCTACCCTGTGAAGAAAACTGCAGGGAGACACCAGTTTACTGTCCTCTCCCACTAGTGTGTGTGCCCACTCTAGGTTAGAGGGGGCACAGTCTGGTCTTCAGCTGATAAAGGATACCCTACACAGCACCCGCGGGTGTGAGTGGTTCCTCTGCAGCTCTCTCCACACCCAGAACAGTTACTTACCCTCTCGCCAGGGTCTCCAACTGGCCCTGGGTTCCCCTGGATGCCAGGGGGTCCAGTCAATCCCTGAGGGACAAGAAGGAAGGTCAGATGTGGACGTCAGACACAAGAGGGGCATGTGGCCGAGGGGTGCACATCAGACACAAGAGGGGCATGTGGCCAAGGGGTGCACATAAGACAGAAGAGGGGAATGACCTGAGGGGTGCACATCAGACAGACAAGGGGCGCAGACTGGGGGTACATATCAGACAGACGAGGGGCACGGACTGGGGGGTGGTCTCTACAGCAGAGGTGTGGGAATCTGGAGCCTGGTTTGGAAGCACTCTTCAGAGTGGAGACCTGGACATACTTAGGCAAGCCACAGAAGTACCTGTAGGAAATGTCTCTAATGAAAGGAAGGCAGCTTCTATAATATACTCACCGCAGGGCCCTCTGGGCCAGGCGGTCCCTCTACGAACATACCCTGTTGGGTCAGACATCCAAAGTCAGAGGCCACAGGGCCAGCACCCACCCCATTACTTCCTCCTCCTGTCCACCTCCCCCAATTCTGCACCCAGTATGACTCACAGGCTCTAGCACCGCAGGCTCTCCCTTCTCTCCCTTTAGACCACGGGGTCCATGGGCAACCTGAGGGAGACATACATGTAACCCGCAGTGGGGCCCGTGAATAGCCAGGACACCACAACTGCCCCATCCCAACTCCAGCCTCCCTTGCAGGACCTCCTGGACACCACCTCCAAGCTCTAAGCCAGTTCCCCAGCCTACCAAAGCAAGCGCATGCTGTGTCTCCAAGAGCGGCTTCCCCAGTATTCTTCTTCTGGGGACCCCGCCCTGTCACCAAAGGTGACCCTAGGAATCATTAGGACCTGAAGAGGTGCCTGTTTCCTCACCCTGACCCCACCTCCTGAGTAAGTAGGTAGGTTTATTCCTGGCAGAATCAGATGAGAATCTGATTTTTAAAGCTACGGGTTTTCCTCCAGAAAATGAAAAGCATGTGTCCTAAGGTATAGAAGTTTATCTATAGCTTCCAGGTTGCTTGTTTCAAGACACTCTTGAGAAAACTCAGAGTACCGCAGGCTGCCCTCATACTCAGTCACCCTGCCTCAGCCTCCCTCGTGTTGGGATTATAGGCATCGCCACCACGCCCATATCTAGTTGTAATTTCAAGGGGTTCACAAGTCAAAAATGCCCCAGAGGGGCTGGGCAGGTGGCTCAACAGTTAAGAGCACTTGTTGCTCTTGCAGAGGATCTGGGTTTGGTCCCCAGCACCCATCTGGTGGCCGACAACACCTGTGACCCCAGTTTGGAGGGTCTGATGCCCTGATCTGACCTTCGCAGGCACCAGGCACGCCTGTGATACACAGACACATAAGTGTGTGTCTGTGTGTGTGCGCGTGCGTGCGTGTGTGTGTGTGTGTGTGTGTGTGTGTGTGGACAGGCAAACATACACATGAAGGAGATTTAGTAAGCTGTTGCCACTGGTATTCTACATTTTGGCCTTTCAGTTGGATTAGGGAAAATACAGCGTGTAGGTTAGTTATCAACCCTCACAGTCCCCTAGTTCCCTCCCCACCCCCACTTACACTCCAAGTAAACCAGTGCCTCCCTCCCACTCTTCTACCCCAATTCCCACTCCAAGCTCTAGGCCAGAGCAAAGACAGTGGCAGAGAGAACGAAGGTCATTTACTACTACTCCCGATTCTCCCCTCCACCCCCATCTTGGCCAATTAGGCGTGATCGGTTCCCAAATCCCAGCTCAACCCCAAACACTCAGAAAGCACCATACAGCTAAAGCAGCAAGGGTGGCAGAATCAGGTAAGCGGGTGCAGAGTTAAGCAGCAGCAGCAGCAGCAGCAGCAGCAGCAAGGAGACAGCCATGACACCAAGCAGGCAAAGGACAAGGTGGAGCCAACGGGAAGCAGTCCAACAGAGAGGGACGTTTGAAGACCTGGGACGCCACTAAGGAGATAAAACAAAGGGACACACACTTGGAAGCAAGACTGACACCAGAGCCAAGAAAAATTAAACACAGCCAAGATGGCTGGAAAACACACTGAACAAACAGGAAGTGGTTAGAGAGACAGGAAGCCTCCGAGAAAAAAGAATCCAGGAAGTGGACCTTCAAAAACAACATGGCTACCATGACCAAGAGAGAAAAGAAAATCACAAAACAAACAGAAAGCGACTCTTGCCAAGAGAATTAAGAGGGTAAAAGGCAAGAAAAACACACCAACACCAGGGAAGGACACATAGGAAACAGCCACAATACATATATAGGACCACAATGAATTAGTCTAATAATTTTGATAATCTGAGGTATCCAGGAAGTAGTTTGTTGTCAAAGAAAATTGCCACAAGTCAGCAGAAAAATCAGAACACAAACAAACAGTCCCTTTTACCTCAGCTTCACATAGGAGAAACATGAAGGCAGGAGACAGGGAAAGAGACCAGAAGTGGCCTCGAGGTTAGAAAACGTCAATGGGACCTGGAGCATCAACATGGACGAGAAGTGGATTTGAGCAGGAGGAGAGGGATGAGACAGACAGAAACTGGACACAAGGCAGCTGCTTATTGACGAAAAAGCTTTATAACATCTATCTCAATTTAGACACGACGTGGCCGAAGGAGAAAGGAAGTGGCCATGCGATTGCAAAAAGTCCGGTTGCCACAGACAGAGGACCTACAGGGAGGCACGGGGTAAGACGTTTGGCAAGAAAAAGCAGGACATGATCTCCTCCAGCCGCACAGACATCTCGTGTGAAGACAAAGTGACAAGCCAACAGGAAGTAGCACATAGCCAACCAGGATCAAACAGGAAGCCATCCATGTAGCGCCCCCGATGGTCAAGGACGGGCTAGAAGCTGATTTCACTTACGGCTCCAGAGTGGGCTGTCTCCGCAGAGAGGGCAGGGCCGAGCTCGGTCTCCTCATGATAGTCCCCATAGCCATAGGTGTAATCGTAGAGCCCTGCCGGGGGGTCTGTGCCACCCTCCCCATACTCCTCTGCCTGGAAACTATCAGCTGTTGGGGGGACCTGGAGATCTGTCTGCTCCTTCCCAAGGACGGGGTGGGGCGGGGTAAGAAGGGATAGATGGAGGCTTTAGACCTGAGAGGAGGCTCTTGTCCCCAAAGAACCCGAGGGTCACTGGGAATGGAGTTTTCTCCCGCACAGTGAGCAAGGGGAGGGACCAGACAGAAGAGCAACGACTATTGACCACAATGGATGTCTGGAAATGGACGCGATTGGGGAAATAGCGAAGAACAAGAAGGGTGGCCGGAGGGCTGGACACAGGACAGTCCATGGACATAATGGCAAATGAGGACTGTAAGACCACAGACAGAAAGACAGAGAGACAAAGAGAAGAAAAAAGCGAGAATGTTGGACAGAAAACGGACCCAGGAATGGCACCATTGACACAGGAAGGGGGTTCACCTAACACCAACATAGAGAGTCTATTTTAGAGTCAAAAAATAATGAGGAGAAGGCTGTGACACCAGAAGAAAAGGCCACACATAGACAAGCAGGTGTCAGATCTGGAGTGACCAGAGAAGTCTTAAGTGGGTATAGGAAGAGCCCTCCGGCCAGGGAGACGTTCTCATTAGGATGTTGGGGGGGGGGGGGGGAGGAGTCCAGCTGGGTGATGTTGGGGACAAAGTTACCTCTTCAAGAAATGGCAAGGGGCTGGACTCCAGGACTCCTTCCTCTTCACCTGGGGTGGGGTACTAGCCCCAAGGAGAGGAGGGGAGGAGGGGAGGGGGGAGGTTAGCAGGAAAGAAAGCAAAGCTGCAACCTGTCCCCACCACAGGCAGGCTCTGGGATGGGGGATGGGGGAAATCTCAGATCTTGCAGCCCCTTTGAGAAAGACAATTTAAAGAGAGTCAATCTCCAATGTCTGTAAATTGGGGGCAAAGATCTGGATGCCCGTTCTACCTGCCGATAACCGCTGCCTCTGGTCCTGGGGAGGGCCCGGGCAGTGGGGGAAGCTGCCCGCGGAGCTGGGCGTCGGGAGGGGGGAGGCTGGCCGAGGGCTTTGCCAGAGCCTCCAGCTGGAGAGGGCCTCCTGGCTGGTGAGGGGGGCGCCTGCCTGGCTGCTGACCTCTTGGCAGGAGGGCTAGGCTTTCGGGGAGGGGTCCGACGCCCCCTAGGGGAAGGGGGAGCCCTGCGGTTGGAGCTCTGAGGACGCTGCAGTGGAGAGACGGGGGGGGGGGCGGCCAGTGAGCAAGTGAACCTCCATAATCTAGTGTCTCTCCCAGAAGCTGGGGCTGATGGGGACTTAGCATAAGAAATGCTGGTAGGAGGTGCTGGGAGAAGGGGGGCCCTCGAGTTTACCTGGTAATCAGGGGCCGTCCCCGTAGTCATCACATCGTAATAGGGGGGCTCGTAGTCGTAGTAGAGAGACTCAGGGGGCTAGGAGCGGGGAGGGGGATAGACAGGGCAGAGTCCAGGGGGGCCGTGAGGAGATGGTGTGGAGTTGGAGGGTGAGAGGTGAGGGTGACAGAGAGGGTGACGATGGAGGAGAGTGGGAGAGGGGAGACGGAGGAAATGGGTTTCCCATGTGGACAGAAGCAGACACGATTAAGAGATTGACCCTCCAGTCTTCAGATCACTGTGCCCAGAACACAGTTGTCACCCCAACCACCCAGTCATCCCCCCCAACCTAGACATTCATCTCTCTTCCCATCACACCCCAAGGCACTTGGTGAGCAGGAACTCTGCTGCCATCTCCACACGTCCACAGACAACCCCCCCCCCCCCGCGCTGAGGCCCTCCCTATCACCACTGCCCCCTGGTATCACATCTCAGCTTCATTTCCCTGTCTCACCTCCTCAGAGTCACCTGTCCCCTAATGTCCCCCAATCTCTTAATTCAAGAAAGGGATGGGAAACCCAAGGCAGACGGGAAGAAGATGCCACACAAGCAGGGCACGTAGCTCCCGCTGGGGATTCTTCATAATGACTCTTTTTATTTTTAAATGAAAATAAAAAGGTTGATGACCGAGGACTGGGAGGAGGGCATGATGGGAGTAGAGAAATACTGCTGGGAGCTAGGGAGAGGATGGAGGAGCAGCGTGGACCACTGCTGGGGGGGCTGCCCTGAAGACCCCCAGTGTCTTCCCCACCACGCTGCAGCTTCTGTTTGCCCGACACCCTTACCTGTCGCTGGGGCTCCTGGTTCTGCGGTTTATGAAGTCTTGATGGCTGCTTCTTTGGAGATCTCTGGGCTCTGTGAGGCTTCGGGATCTGAGGCGCGTCTTTCTGCTCCCTCTCACATTCCAGATCCTTCTGTCCACAAGACTGATAGGCGGCTTGGACGCCTGGGACGACGAGGAGCTCCTGGACATCACCCTGCGAAGATACGAGGAGGGGGAAGCGATGGAGAGGGAGAGGCCAAAGGGGTGGTCCGGGACCAAATGACTGGGGAGATGTTCGGGCGAGGAAATGGATGAACAGGTAAGGCCGTCGTGCATGCATCCGGAGGGAGGTCAGCAGGTTGGCTGGCTGGGGAGACGAATGGGTGGTGGACACATGAAGAGGGGTTGTCTCTGGGTAACTGGGACTGGGCAGGTGATAAACAAACAGATTTGGACAGGTGACGAAGGACCGAATAAACAGCCATGAGCTGTATCCACACAACAGTCTCAGACTAAGCTATATCATGAAGGAAGGTCATGATCAGCTTCCTACAGGGACAATAGGAACAGTCAGAAGGACAAGGACTGCCATCCCTTATTTCATATCTCAACAAGACAATGATGAGCAAAGTCACTCAGAATGACCGGTCAGGACTAGAACTCAGGCCTTCCAACTTCAGATTCAACACAGGCCAGCAACTCCCCTCTCCTATGGTCACACATAGGTCTTTCCACAGGGCTTCTGGAGACAGGTATGGCCTTGGGGACCTTGACCTTCCACCATCAGTGATGATGGGAGTTCTCTAGAAACAAGGAACTTATTTCCTTCTGAATCTCAGTCAATGACTTGAGTCTCACACAGTGCTTACACACTGGCTCATCTCAAAGCAAAACAAAGACCATCCTGGGATGGCAGAGACCTTGCACTATCATGCCGTGTTCAGAAAAAGTGGGTGTGGGCGGGCGGGTCGATGGGTGGATGGATAGACGGAATGGAAGAGCAGACGGGTCAACAGGGGTTCGAATGCAATAAGAACGATGGTGGATGGACGGGTGGGTGACCTCGCGGGCAAATGAGTGGGGGGGCAGGTGAAGGGCACGCACTGCGGTCTAACTGTGTGGATGGGGCTAATGCGTGGGTACCTGAGCGGCAGGATGGCGAGTGGGCGGTGAAATGAGTGAGTGCAGTACAGCGGAGCAGCGGCTGAGTTTGTAGCGGCTACGCGGCTAGTGAACCGAGGCATGCGTCCGTGTATGTGCAGGTGGACGGAGCGAGCGGGTGAGTGGAGGAGAGAATAGGTGTGGGGACAGGTTAAAGGGGACGGGTAGATGAACGGTGGGGGGTTGAGGGGGGAGTAGCTGTGCAGGGGAAGAGAGGTGAGCAGCTCAATATGAGCCTGGCTGCATGAGCGGGGAGGGGCCTGGGTAGACGGTCAGGTGGGTAAGTGGACCAAGAGGTAAGGCGTGCATGCGTCTGGAGGCAGGTCACTGGTGTCAGTGGGCTGGGTGGACACAGGAAGAGACAGGTCAGTGGTGTCAATGGGCCAGGTGGACGCACGGGTGGACACAGGAAGAGGGGTTGTCTGTGGGTGACTGGGCAGGTGAATTAACAGACAAATCGGGTGAAGGAATAGATGAATGGCTGGCGGATGGGTAACAAGTGACATGGTGACAATAAGCTGTATTTACATAAGCAGGCCTCTCGCTGCCCACTGAAAAGACCAGCCCTGAAGACCAGAGGCGGAAATAGAAAATCCTGGGAAGAAAAACTAAGGCTTAAGCCTAGGAAGATAGAGGGCTGGAGCCAGAAGTGTGACCACGCCAGGGGCCAGAATCACCCTGCTCAGACTGCTGCTGTGCTTACCTCAAAGACTTCGTCATCTAGGATATGGGCACCGAAGATCACCACCCCACGGGTGTCCAGCACTGGATTCGCACTTCGGGGAAGGGGTCGGCTGACCCGCTTCTTACAGTCCACAATGAGGGTGACAGACTGACCCTTCACAGCCACAGCCAAATGGTGCCACCTAGCGGTGGGGTAAGAAGTTCATGTGACTGACAGGTGGTGGGAGTCAACAGGACTGGGAGACAACTAGTAGAACAGACAGCCGTGATGATGGGATTAAGAATTACACCGATAGGGTTGGGGGATGGTTCAAGGGTTAAGAGCAGTGAGCAGTGACTGCTCTTCCAGAGGGTCTGGGTTCAATTCCCAGCATGCATATAGTGGCTCACAACCACCTGCAACTCTAGTCCCCAGGGATTGGACATCATCTTCTGGCATCTGTGGGTACCAGGCATGCACGTGGTGTGTAGATGTAGGTGCGGGCAAAACACCCACATATATAAATTAATTAAAATTTTTTTTAAAGAACTCTGGGCAAGGGTTACCATGTATCTTGTGCTTACAGCATGCACGCCCTGCAATCATTTTCTAGCTGGGGTGTCATATTTGGTGATATTTGTCTGCTAGAAACTAAGGCTCAAAACGCTAAATACGTTACCAGAGAGCCAGCAGGTACCTTTTTATTCCTATTCCCCTACCCAGACTCTGAGACCCAAACCCTGATCAGGAAGTGACAAGTTCGAGCAGCGAGCTAGTGTGCTCAAAGGGCCAGCAGAAGCCCTCAGTTTAGAAACTGGGGCTTCTGAGTGACTTTCTGTGACAATCTGGGTCAGGCAGGCCAAAGGGACAAACTGACTTACTTGCCATCGGCTAGGTTAAGGCCTCGGAAGACAGGCTGAGAGGAGGCTTGTGGCCGCCCCCTCTGGTCCTCATACAGAAAGCGGACGGGGCGACCGAGCTCAAGGCCCAGCTGCTGGACTCCCTGGGCACTGTATAGAGTCAAGAGGGGGGCCTGGAGGCCAGGGCGGGTCCGGACAACAGTCAGCAGGGAGAAGTCTTTGGGAAAGCCTCCTGGTACCCCAGGGGAAGAGACACACAGATGCAGTCAGAGGTGAGGAGATTCCAAAACCTCACCTCCCCACCTCCCTATCTCACTGCCCAAACCTGGGAAAAGCTGGCGGGTGGGTGCACTGAGCTGGGCAGGTCGTGACACACGGTAGGCCACATCAGTCGGACAGACCCCTTTTGATTTCCGGACACCATCAGGAAGGGAGGGGAACCTCAGGGCACGCAGTACATCCACAGAGGGTGCACCTGGGAAAGTCAGGGTTCGAGTCAGGGGACAGGACAGGTCCCAGGGAGGGTCTAAAGAGGGAACACCCAGATCTCCAACTCACGATCCTTTACATTACCCTGAAAGAACCTGTATGGATGGAAAGCAAAGTGACCCAGAGGGAAGTGCAGCTAGTTGTGGCTGGCATGCGGCTCTAAGCCTTCGCACCAGTCCCCCACATCTGTGTCTCAGACCCACCACTGCCATCTAAGCTGTGAATCTTTGCTAAGATTCTCCCTGTCATTCCCTGCCTCCCTCCCTCCCTCCCCTCCTCCTGCTCCTGCGTGTGCACCTGTCAGACCCTCCCTCCAATCCCTCCTCTGTTCTCCCGTCTTCCCCACACCCTGCCCATCCTTTTCTTTCTCCCTTGCTCTCCCTCCCTTTCTGTATCTCCCAGTTTCTGGCTTCCTGGCATCTGCTTGGTCTCTAGCACAAACAACATCTGGGCGATCGATCATCCTGGGCACAGGGAGGCGGAGAGGCGGCTGTGTAAAAGAGGTCTACCAGCTGCTTAAGACTGGGTTGAGGTGGGGGCAGGGGCAGCTCTGACTGGGCTAAGGAAGGAGATAAAAGGACCAGGACCGGGTGGTCCAGATGTCTATGCCCCCAGGTTTGGAGAGGGGGAAGGGGAAACTAAAACTGCCACGCAGGGCAGGAGCAGGTCCAGGGCCCCAAGCCACACATCTGTAGATGCCATCAGAGTTCTTGCCCAAATCCCAGGCCAGCTCCTCACACCTGGAACCTCAGTCCTGCCCTGCTACCCCCACCATCTGAATCTAAAGATTCAAGTCGCAGGCCATCAGCCAGGACTCCTTAAATTTCAGCTTCCTGGGCCCAAACTCCCTGGAAAGTGAAGGTTTGCCCCCCAAAGCACAGCATCCGCCCCACAGTGGAGAGCTCCCACAGAGGGTGCTCGCAAAGACTGGTGGAAGTGGGGGCGGGCAGAGGCCAGGGCAGTCAGGAGAGCAGAGCTGGGTGGGGTGGACAAGGTGGAGCCGGCAGGAGAGAAAAGGCCTTTTGAGTCCAGGAGCTGAGGAAACCGCGACCTTCCCCCGCCCCTGAGGAGCCTGGCCCCCAAGTGTGGCGGCTCTGCAAACACTAACACACAAGGGCAGCTTTGAGAGACCAAGGTGAGGGAGACAGAGAGACAGAGACTCACAGAGACCCCTGGCCAAGCAGACCTCGGAGGTCCCCACCCTCTACCAAAGCCCAGTGGAGGACAGTTCCACACCACGCTCACTGCCCACAGGCTGGCCCCCCTCAAGCCACATACTAAGCCCACTGTCTGAGACACACTGGCACCCCATCAATCACCCTGAGCCCCCAAATGCCCTGTCCTTTACTCTCGGGAATTCTTAGTCACCCATTTCCCTGGACTCCCTCCTCCACCCGCTCAGCTCCCAAACAAGGGACAGTGATCTCGGTCCCCGGCCTCTGCAAACACCTTGTACTTCATTTTATGTTACTTCTTTGGTCTAGCCTATATCCTTTACACTGCCATTCTGCCTAGTTTCTCTCCAGAGAAGAGAAAACATGAATAATGGAGATACATACAAAATCAGTCCTGTCTCCATTCTGGGAGAGAGGAGCTGGTTACATCCTGCTTAGACCCAGCACGCCCAGACTATTCTGATATCAAATCCTCTTTTCTAGGAGCCTTTCCCTTCTGGAGGAAAAGGGAGGAAAGATTGGGCCTGTGGACACCAGGGTCCCAGAGGAGTCCGGCTGGCCAGAGGGGGAGGGGAGGGGCAGGAATGCAAAGAGCTGGCTCTGGCCTCAGACACCTGATCCTGGCCTGTCCAGCGGCCGTCCTGTTGGCAGCCAGCCCTGGTGTTCCCTAGAGCCAGCCGCGTGGCAGCATCCAGGGCACAGGGAGGGGTTGGGGGACCCAAAGAGGACAGGACAGTGGAGGTAGCCTTCTTCCCTGGCTCTGACCCTGCTTCCTTTACCCATCAGCCCTGGCATTCACTGCCCTGACATCAGCAAAGCCTGGACAAGACTGGCTTTGGCCATTCTTGGATCTTTCTAAGGACCCAAACCACGAACCCAGCCCGCTCAGGCTCTCTGTGGTCCCCAGCCGCTGCCGTCACCTGCTTTCCACCAGTCATTTCAAGGATGACAGTCCCATATTGGCTACAAGGAACTCAAGTGTTCATCCTTCATCCTAAACCCCAAATCCCTTTCTTAAGACTCAGACGCTCCTACTCCAGACATCTGTGGTCCCTTCCAGGTAGATGCTCTGACCTCCAGCTGACTGACACCCAGACAAGACTTCTTACCTGCCCATCCCGGGGCAGCACTCAGCCCCAGCACCAGAGGTAGGAGCAGAAGGAGGCAGGGGCAGCCGCTGCCCCGCTCCATGGCTCAGAATGCCGGGTCCCAGACCCAGACAGCCCTGGTATGGACAGTAGACAGAGCGTGCTGAGCCTTGGAACCAGGACCCAGGGATGTCAGCAGCCTTCAGTGGTCAACTCCATGCAGCAAGGTGCTGTTGAGGGGACGGACGTCTGCTTGCTCCTCGGTGGCTGCTACTGTGTGCCCCTGGCCACCCTGGCAGCTCAGAGACCCCAGCTCGCCCACGCCCCTAGGTCTGGTCCCCGCCTCTTGCTGCCCGCCCACAGCCACCGAAGGAAAACCCCACCCCCGATCTCCACCTGGGCAGGGGAGTGTGGGGGAGAGAACCGCGCTCCTCACTCACAGGCCCTGGAAGGATACACTTCTATTCCTGGAGGGATTAGGTGGTCTTTGTGCACCCTCAATATCTTTGGGGGAACACAATATACCTTCTCTAGCTCCTTTCTTTTTAGGACCCTATGGTCCAGTCACACATACAACTGTCCCTGCCCTTGGGGGCCCAGGGCCCCTCTGCAGAGTCCGGGGAGGGACTCAGGGCACAGTGGGACATAAGGGGCGGGCCTACAGGCGACTGTCCCACGCCCACTCGTAATCAGGTCTCCATAATTACCTCCTTCGTCCCGCCCCATGTAATTACAGAGCAGTCCTGGGCGGGATGTTTATGGACCCAGCTATAGATAGCGATCCAAACGTGGGGGTGTGTGGGGTCGCCTTGTGGAGCATAGATCAGAGATAGGCAAATGGGCTAATCGTCCAAGAAGATAGAAATACTGGACTAGGTAAAACAGTGAAAAGAGGCACAGAACCGTGCCGTGGAGACAGGTGATGCTACCAGAAGGGTCTGGCAAAAGGGTCACTCAGGGACGTGTCCACTCTAGGAGGGCAGCGCTAAAACCAGCGCACCCCTTCGTGTGGGCACATTGCCGGGTCTGCCCGGAGCCTGCGGCGCAGCCGGGGAGAAAGCTGGAGCGAGTGAGACGCCGCCGCCCGCTGGCGCTGGGAGGGCACCCGCGAACAAGGCGCCTTTGAGAAGCAGCCGGTCTCCCTTCTCCGTGGGCAGCCCCGCCCCCAACCTGGCACACCCTCTCCCCCTCCCGACAAAGCACGCCTTGTGTCTCCCACCCTGCACCGCCTCTGCAGCCCCAGGGAACCTCGGGTCGGCCCCTGCAGCACCCTGGGAGCATGTCAGGGTTTCTCACCGAAAAATCCCTACACCTAGACGATGCCACGGTGCCCACCGCCCAGTTACCTCAGTCCAGAAAACAGCTATTTTAACTGGAAAGCGATTTTATGTGCAAGAGAAAGCGGGGGAGGGAGCCTCCCCCGGAAAAGAGACCTGGGGTAAAACCCATGCAGCCCAGCACCCATCTCTGAAGGCTGGCCATCCCGGTCAGTTCTGTCCCCAGTCCCCAGCCTGTGTGCTGAGGAGCAGGTAGGGACAGCTGTAAAAGGAAAGGCCACCCAAATCAGCGCCCCCCCTCACAGCCCAGACCCCTTCCACGAGCCAGTGAGATGAGAAAGGCAGTGCCCGGAAAGCCACAGGGGCAGACCACTTGAAGGGCCTCCTTGCCCACATGCCACCTCCAGCCCTGGCATCTATGCCAGCCTGGGGATGTACAGTACTTCTTTGAGTCTAACTCCCAGTCTCCTCACAGGAGATTAAAGAAGCAGTCGGTCCTCCATCTCCGCCGGCCCCTTCACCGCCACCCTTTATTCTTCAGTCTGACTGCAGTGTGCCGCAAAGGGAGCTATAGGAGGCGGGCGCCCCCCTCTGCCCCCCTCTGTCAGGCTGGGGGTATGAAGGGCTGTCAGAGCCCTGCTCCGAAGACCATCAGCTGGGGGGGGACTTGCCCCACAACACCCTTTCTAGAGGAACTCCATCCCGCTCTTGAGAAGGGAGCAGGGTCCCAGGATCAGGGCCAGTGCTTTGTGCTCGGGGAGCCAGGATGAGCAATCACCTACATCACAGGAGACTCAAGGCCACTGAAGGTAGACATGTAGTGGTCACAGGGATCTGAGGTCCCGTCTGACTCCGGGACTGGGCACACGCTGCTAAGGGACCAGACCCCTTGCAGGCTGCAGAAGTGCCCTCCTGCTCTGCACCACTTGCCCATTGCTCTGGCTGGGCCCTGGGCCTCCCACCCGCCCAGGCGCAGTCCTATTCCACAGTGCTCCCCACTGAGGAGCACACGTGTGCGTCTGGGTTCAGGCTAGCTGGTGGGGAGCCTCGAGCATCTCCATGAGGAAGGTGTCAATGGGGGTGTCGCCAATGAGCTTGAAGAAAAACAGGTGCTCCAGACACTTGAGGCCGATGGAGCGGAGGGCGGGAAGACGTAGCAGCAGCTTGGCGAACCTGAGGTGGGAGCAGAAGGGAGTGAGCGCCAGCGCCAGCCAGGCCCTGGACATATTCCAGCCTCACCCTCTGGGGGGCCGCAGCCCGGGAGCCCCTCTCACCGGCCTTGCTGCTCAGGGTACTTCTGCTTGCAGTAGGTCTCCAGTGACGCGTAGACCTTCTCCCGCAGGACCTCCACCTCACCAGGGTTGGAGAGGCCCTTGGCATCTGGGATGGTAAAGGAGGAAGAGCAAGAGGAAGAAGGCAGGTGAGTCGAGTCATGACGGACAAGCAGATGGGGCCCTCAGGACAGACATGCAGATGGGGCCCTCAGGATAGACATACAGGTGGGACCCTCAGGACAGACATGCAGATGGGGCCCTCAGGACGGACATGCTGATGGGGTCCTCAGGACAGACATGCAGATGGGGACCTCAGGACAGACATGTAGATGGAGCCCTCAGGGCAGACATGCAGATGGGGACCTCAGGACGGACATGCAGATGGGGCCCTCAGGACGGACATGCAGATGGGGCCCTCAGGACGGACATGCTGATGGGGCCCTCAGGACGGACATGCAGATAGGGTCCTCAGGACAGACATGCAGATGGGGCCCTCAGGACAGACATGCAGATGGGGCCCTCAAGATGCCCCCCAGGGAACTGAGGCCAGCTGGGTTTGTGGGACCCCGTCAGAAGGGGAAGGTCAGCTAAGACATTTCTGGGCTGAGGGTCTTACTGGGTGGGGGTGGGGGCTGGAGGAAAGGAGGCTCCAGGGTGGTCTTTCCTTACCTGGGTTAAACAGAATGATTGCCCGCAGGCAGCCAAGCTCTGTCTTGTCCATCCTCATGTCACGCATTTTGGACACTAGCTCTGTCAGCACCCTGGAGAGGGACCTGCAGGTCACTCAAAGGTCACAGCTCAGCCAGCCTTGGACACGGACCAGTCTATTGCCCCACCCCTTCTAGCTACAGGACAGCCTGGCCAACGGCCACTGACCGATCAAAGATGGCTCCCACGCCTGCGGAATGGGCTGAGTTTCTGTGCACATGAAGACCTGTGGCCAGAAGGATGCCATCTCGGACATCAATGGACCGATGGGAGAAGGAGGCAATGAGAAGCTCATTCCAGCCTAGGGGCCAGAGGGCACCAAGGGTCAGCAGGCAGACACCAGGTCATGGGATCCAAAGCACAAAGAAAATAGGGGCAAGTCAGCAAGTCAAGCTCCCTGAATATGCAAGGAAAGCTACTAGGGTCACTGAAGGTCAGGAGGACAAAGAGGGGTCAAAGGTCAAGAGGTCAAAGAGTCAAGGTCACTGACCTGCCCGTAGCAATATGACCTGGTCATCCAGAGGTAGGGAGGAGAAGTGTGGGATCCTCTTCGCCCACTCGACAAGTGTGAACAGCTGCTTGTCAGCCGCCTGGCAGATGTTAGTCACTGGGTCATTCGGCTGCAGAGACCACAAGATGCATGGGAGGGCGGAGTCACCGTCCCTGCTGGAGGTTGTGGCACTCCTCCTCAACCCTGCAAGCCCCGGCTGAACCCCTCTCTGATTTAGGTTTCTCTCTGCTCTGGACATTCCTCTCACCCCTCAGCAGAGACAGACTTCTTGAGACACGGTCTAGCTATGTGCTCCTGACTGGCCTGGAACTTGCTATGTAGACCAGGCTGGCCTTGAATGCAACAGAGATCCACTTGTTTCTGTCTCCCAAGTGGTGGGATTATAGGCAAGTGCCACTACGCCTGGCTCACTTCCAGTCCAGGGCAAGGTGCAGAGGGGAGGAAGGGAGGAAGAGGAGAGGTGGAGCACACACACCTCAACTCCTTGCCCAACCCCCACCTGAGGGAGAGGGATCAACCCCATCACTCACGCTGCTGCCGCTACCCCCGGTCCCCCCGGGACCCTCAACGCCTTGGTCACTCTTCTGCTCCACAGCAAGCTCTGCCTCCAGGATCCTGTCCACAGGCATCTCCTCAGGGGCTCCCCCAGCCCCGTCCCCGTCCCCGTCCTTGTCTTTTCCCCGTTGCCGCTCCTCCTGTACCGCTGTGGGGTGGGGAGGGAAAAATGCAGAATTGGAAGCCAGCTAGGAGGGTCTGATGTCCCTGGGGGTATGGCAGCCAGAGGTGATTAGAAACGTTAGACTGGGGAATCCGAAAGCAAAGTGCTCTGGTGAGAGCACCTGCCAAGTACACACGAGACCCAGGGCTCTATCCCCATCACCACAAATAAATACACAACTAAGTACATAAATAGGCAGATAAAGACCTGGCAATAGACAAGTGAAAGAATCAGAGAAGAATCTGCATTTAATATGGTTAATGATATGCTAAAAATGTGCCAACGTGTTTTAACATGTACTGGAGTGTCTTAATGGCCTTGTGGGTTCCTGCCCCCAGGTTTAAGGATGAGGAACCCAAGGCTAAAGACATAGCCTCCTAAATTCACGCAATACATGACCAGTTACGCGCTTGATGGCAAACCCTATGCTCTGCTGGCTACAGATGATGTTATGATCTTGGTGACCTGGGTCCAGGTCTCTGGAGGGTGTGTTCTGACTCTGGTCCTGCCACTCTGTCACCGTGTGACTTTGGGAAAGCCAAGATTCATCTTCTTTAAAGCAAGGATTGGACCAAAATAAGCCCTAAAGTGTCTCTTAAAATTCCAGGCATCAGATTTACTTAGTTTCAGAGAAGAGAGATGCCAAGTTCTGACCTCTTCAGTGATTCCGTAGTTAATAGGGTAGAGTCTTGAGGGTTCAAGGAAAGACTGGGAGACCAAAGAAAGAACATAGGATCAAAGCGAGAAAGGGGCTGTATGAAGTGGAGAAGAGAGAGCAGAGGCCTGGATAGTCCCAAAGCAAGCTGGGAGAGGCCATAGCATCACAGGATTAACCCTGAGGAGC